ATCTTTGGAAATCAGTGATGATTTGTCAGTGCTGACTTTCAAGCTTCTTGGCCTCAGAGAGTTTAGCATAAGATAGGACATCTCCAATGTGAACTGGGCCACCAGGGTGTCACAAGGAACTGCAGAAAAATTGGCCCTTCTTACAAACATGTCTGCAAGTCATGGGCCAGCAATGACAAATGAGAAACACAGGTATTTTTTCTCTTTGGCAAACCTACCTGCCCTGACCCCATGCAGTGATGCTTTGGGATTTTGGGAGCTCAATCTCATGCAGTTTCTTTTACTACTTAGTTTTGTTTCCTGTTTTCTTGGTTCAAAAGAGGACACAGTTTGGCCATCTGCATCTCTAGGTTGTTACCAATGTACATTTCCTAAGCCTGGAAATGCAGGATGCCAGTCAGCTGTTCCCAGGTGGGTTGGCACAATGTGGCTGCGACCTAGAAATGGCAAGAAACCTGATCATAAGTAGACTGTGGAAAACCCCTGAAATATCAAGAACAGGTTGTTCCACTTCCTTATTATTTCCCTATCAATTCGCTGCTAAAATGTAAATCTTGGGTAATTTTCTTCAGTGCACAGACTCAGGTTGCATGCAGACAAATTAGCTGTATTATCTGCTGTAGTCTGAACATCAGAAATGATTTGATGGTTTTTAGGAGTGAAATCAGGAGTGTTATATACAACCAGCTATGGAATATAAGCAAACTCAAGCTAGACTCACTAGACTTGCCTGCTAGACTTAAATTATGCTCAGAATTCTATACTTTGAGCTGCAGATCTTATGGCATCAGATGGTATTGGTGCATATACCCTGGGCTGTCCATGTGCCCTCTTCTACTATGTGTTCTCCAGCTATTAATACCACATCTTTTCAACACTGGGCCTGTTTTAGCATGAGAAAAAACATCCCAAAGGGCAGATAATGGCAAAGTGTCTGCATTTATGCTGTGTCAATGGAAATGTCTGAGTCATCTTAACAGTGTAGTAATTTGATTGCTTTTCTCTTTCCTGGGTGAAAGCTTCACTCTTTTCAAACTGACTTACAACAGGAGTCACAAATCCTATTCAGGTGACAGCAAACCTTCATTTTATGTGAAATTGCTCTTTGTGAGTAAAAAAGACTTCATTATTCTGAGCTGATCATACTTTGCCTGTAAAAGAAGTCACAGTGAAGCTGGCTGAAGCTGTGCAAAATCATCAAGTGTTTTTAACCATAATTTTTTTTTCCCAGGCCAAACCCAAGTCTCTATAATCAAATATATAATATATATACGTATTTTTTTGCTGTGATGTGCTGAACATATCACCCACATCTTAAATATTCTTGGTGATAAAATTCTCTTGGTGACTCTCAGCATTACGTTTCATCCTTTTGTTTTGTTTTGCTTTGTACTAGGCTGGCATCCAAATCATCCCTAAAGAATCGCTCTACCTGTTACTTTGCAACTGCAGTGTGTTGGTGCCAAAGCTTGTTGTGTGACTCATCAAAAGCCAATGTGATCTGATGTACTACTGCAGTGTGAAGGACATGCTGGAATGTGGTGCAGCATGGCAGAAAATGGAATACATGATTTTCTTCCAAATTTGATATCTGCTAAGCCTCAGCCATCGGGAGAAGAGGGCTTGTGAGGACATGAAAGCCTCATTATATAAAAAGAAAAAAAAAGCAAGCATGATAAGAATGCACAACATTTTTGCATCACAGCTTCCAACTCAACGTCTTTGGCTCACAGAAGGCTGCATGGTAGTGCTTAGCTACAGTGCTGAACAGAGATACTGAAGATTGCAGCATGGCTGGTCCCGTGCCTGTGTGATCTGCAGGAGGTGAAAACTGTACTTCCAGTGGACATGCAGGCTCATGCCTTTATGTGGTTGTGAGAGCAAGCCATGGAGCATCTCATTCCTGCAGTTTTCTGCCCCAAAGTGATGTACTTCCCTGGAGTTTAGAGGAATTCACCGCTGTGTAGGTCCAAACCCTGAGATCAGAGCCGACTACCACTCTTCTTACAAGAAAGGCTTGTTTTCTTTCTATGTGCATCTATACAAGAACTGGGGATGGTTAGTACAGAACTTCTGTTAGTTTTTAAAACCTAATTGTAATAATTATGAATATAGGGAAAAAAAGAAGTATTTCAGCTAGAGTGGGAGAAAGAGCACTACAGGAAGGAGGCACTACAGACACCATTGGCTTGAGGAAGGGGTCACATTTTTTCCTGGGGATTTTCATCTCACTGCTTTTGCTCTCTGCTGAAGTGTGAGGTAGACCGAAATTTTAGGGAATGAAGAAATAGCCCAAAGTTTTCCTAGGACAGCTTTAAATGCAATGAGGAGGATTGCCAGAGGCTTCTAATGATGGGCCTGGCAGCAGTATGACACTAGTACCTGCACCCATTAAAATGTCTGCTCTCTTTCTTCATCAGTTCACACAAAGATGGAGGCCAGCAGTTAAGGGTCAACAGAAGACCATCTCAGAGTTTAATCTGGAAATGCAGGAAGATTATTTTGTTCCCATTCTTGCACCAAGCCTCTTTTGCCAACTTTTTCCCAGCATAATCTCAGTGGATTTAGAAGTGAGGGAAGATGACTTGACAATGCCCTACATGAGTAACCAAATAGATGGGAGACCCCAGCTCAATTCCCTGCTTTATCACATACATCTTAAAAGGCCTTGGGAGGTCATTTAGGCACAGATCTTTGCAAATACTTACATGTCTGCCTCCCACTGATTTTATTGAACTCAAAGGGAACTAGGCATGTAAGTAGCTTAATTTCTTTTTGCCCCAGATCCCTAACTGTAAAAGTGGAGAACAGTAGGATTTCTCTGTCTGCCAGAGATATGTGGAGAATGAATAGACTGAAGAAGTTCTCAGAGACGAAAATGACAAGGGCCAAAGAAATATGTAAAACAGCTCATCAGAATGCAAACTGTGATCTATCTGTTGCTCAGTATAAATGAAGGTTTTAATTGCACCAGGAAGGCTGCAGGTTTTGCAGTCTCTCTTACTGCTATATTGGACAAGCAAGTAATCAGCACAAATGCAAATCTTAATAGCACCTTCCCACAGCCTGAGAAACATTGCTGTCTTGTGTTTACGTGCACAGGCTGTGACTAGCAAGGAGGGTTCTGTTTCTTGTCTTGCCACCCTGAGACATACAGTATAGTTACCCCCTCTGTAACTACGTCATATGATTTATGTAGTCCTTAGTGGTCTCTAGACGAAAATACACGTATAAATTATTGTTACTGAAATGACTACTGCACTCCAAATTGCTGAGGCACTAAATTAATCGTTAATGTGTATATTTCAAATAGTCAGTGGTTTGAAACTTCACATTTTTTCTTTCAGGTCTGTAACCAATAGTACCCTAAGCTTCTTGTGATGTATATCTCTGGAAAACTGGTATTTTACAGAAAGTGGGAGGCACAGCCATTCAGTCACTGCTGTCAGTATAAATTAGCTCAAGTATGGCCTTAGACAGAAAAAGTGCATCTGATGCTGGGAATTTTGTGAGTTTCTTTTTTTAGAACAATGCCTTGAGGGTGAAATGAGCCTAGTTTGCCAAATGTTTCAGCAATAGTTGTGTTTTATTTGTTCACGTATTTTGGCAATATATATTCAAAAATAAAAAGAGAGAGACAATGGGAAAAAGATGGGGATAAAAATACAAGAAACTGTGTGGGGAGGTTTCAGGAACACTATAGAAAGAAAATTGGTTTTGGGATGAAAAAACATTAGCCTGCGGTATAGAAGGGCTCCAGACTTTGCAAGTAGAATGTTTTAAGAGATGTTTACAGGGGCTTCTTTGTTAGCCTCTGCGTTGCTTTTTCGTATGCCTGCAGAGGCACAGATAGGGGCTTATGGAAATATGTGAGACAAGCAGACGTGTGGGAGCAAGGGCAGGCACACTGCTTGGACACAGGCACAGATAAAGCAGGTGGCCAGTCTTTCTGCCCATGTATTCTGGAATCGCTTGCTGATCTGCTGCACTTTACATACTAAACTCCTACTGAAATCCAGCCCCTTCATATTGGCTTTCAAAGCTCTGTACCAGGTCACTCAAAGTCCTCCCTCTTTCCCCACAAAGGCTGTTGTGGATCTGACCTAAGCACCAGTACCTGCCCATGGAGATCCTTTACCAGCATCAGTCATGCAAGGGCTTGCCACAGCGGGGCTTTCCTACAGGCTCTAAACCCACCAAAGCTTCCCCAAAAGAAGCAAATTCCATTGGTTAGGACACTGGAGTGTCAGCACTTTGCCATGAGTCTTCCCACTGGTGTTTCAGTTTCTATTTAGCAGATCTTACACAGACTTTTAGCTGTATGCTGTTACCTGCCTAAGGCTTTGCATGTCCTTCCCTATCTCTTGCCCTTTCCTACAAAAATGAGTATGTGCAAAAGAGGAAGAAAGAAAATGCTTGGGGGAAAAGACTGGAACAGTACTAGAACCTTCCCTTTCTGTGTCCGGGAGAAAACATGAAAAGTACAAAAAAAAAAGAGCAATATCATTCCCTTCAGATACGTCTCTGTTCCAGTTGCTATCCTACCTTAAAGCATCTCCTTCTGAATGAACGCAATTTCCACTTTTTTATCCAAGATGCCTGCAGCCTGGCCACAAGAACTGAATTTGCACAGAACACTGGCACATTTCATCAAAGAAGAAAAAGGGGCCTATTTCTAGAGAATATTTGTAAAGAAGAAAATATCATATAACCTTCAAGTGTATTAAGTAATATGTCATTTTATTGCTGCCTATAAGGAGCAGGTGTCGGTTAGTATTATTTGAAATGGCAATCTTATCACACAGTATAAGTCACGGCCTCTCAAGTCCAACTCAGGCATTAGAAATTAGAGTATCTAACTGTCTGTGTCTATTCTGATTACCTTGATTGTCCCTTAGAGTAAAGTTGGGGTTGTTGGCTGCCTCTGGAGCCAGGCTATAGTAGAAGTGCTGACCCTCCTGTGGGTCATCCCTGTCGATGGCGCTCACTGTCTGGATCAGCTACAGAATATGATAACAAAGCAGAAACAGTTGAGAAGCAAAACATATATAATATAAATAGATATAATGTACATCTTTATATATATAAGCAAATGGAACATTTGAATGAAACCGTCTTGCAGATGTACAGTAGGTAGATCACAAAGATAGATACTCAAAACCTTGCAGGCTTCGTGTATTTTGCTATGATCATGCAAATCACTTTTAAACAAAGGAAATAGTTGGTTTGCTTCAAATAACAGACACTCTTCTCTCATGCATCCCTATCTTCTGTTGCACATTTATTTTTTCAGGGTGTTCAGAAGACTCATTGTGCATTAGAGAGCTTGTAAGAAGCCATATTTATTTTCAGCTTCATTTTGCAGGTAGAAAAGACCTTCAGGTTGATTATTTTATCACTCTTAATTTTAAATCAATTAAATTCTTTCCAAGACGTCAGTGAAAAGAAAAAGAGAAAAGGCAACCATGCACACACTTTGCACGTGCAATATATAACATCACGGAAAGAAATGAAGACAATGTAAATCCAGAAAGAGATTTGTCAGCTCACCTATAGAAGCTTAGTAAAGTAGGTCTAACAGCTTGAAGCAGAGTGAGCTATAGCTCTGTCTGAATAAACATTCTGACATCTTTATAGACAAGGAATAAATCTTCACCTGGATTTTTGCATTCAAAAGTTATTTTTGAATTCAAAGGCAAATGACAGACCCTTAAAGTCTTGTTCAGCACCTTAAAAATTATGTCAGAACTTTTCAAAGAGTGGAAACAGCAGCTGTCTTTTCCCACATAAGGAAGTAGTCTAAATTAGCGTACACTTCTCAGAAAACTTATTATTTAGGACACTCAGCTTTCAAAACCAGGAAAAAAGGTATGAAATTATTTCTACTCCATGTATTTTTAAGATCCTCTGTAAATCAGGGAGATGAAATTATCCTGTATATGATAGTTGTGAGACAGTTGTCCCAGCAGTGAGTAGCTATTTCATTCTGCTCCACAGCAAGCTGGAGAAGCTTCAGTGGACACATAGGGATATTACTAAAATAATTTTTCCTTCACAAATCATAAGTGATGCATCTAAGTGTTTAAACTATGCTAGTCAGCTTTGCACTAGGAGACACAAGCCTCCACTGTGGACCCTGGGTGGCAAAGCACCCAAGCTGCCTCCCTACAAGCAATCAGCAATAGAGCTCGCACCAGCTCCAGCAAGAGAGAGTTCATGTTCATCTGTGACAAAGGCAGACCTTGTTCAAGGGGTTTAATGGGCTTTTAGAAGAGAGAGGAGCAAAGAGGCTTCACTGCTTGCTTAGAGGTGCTGGTTTACAATGTGTGGAGTGGGAAGTCCTGTGTTGTCTATGACTCTCTGTCACAGCAGAACAGGGTCAACTTGCTACCCCTCTGAAGCTGATGTAGTCTGTCGTGTTCAGCTCCCACAACTCCAGGATGCTTAAGACTCTTATAAATAGGGTCTTTTAACAGTCAGCCTTGTCTGTCACACACGGGCCAGGCTGACTTCATAGCCTGCATGGCATAACACTTCTGCTCTCTTTGTTGCTGCTACAGGAAACTGGGTGTTTGCCTGCTGGCACCTGCCCAAAGGAAGGCCTAATTTCAGCCATGAAGCATATCTGTTAGTGATCGTGGAAACTACTGAGGGAAAAAAGAGAGGTGCTATGTATGATGCTAATCCCAGTGTGATGTAATTGCCTTTGGAAACCAGCACAGACAGCTGCTGACCAGAGTTCAGATGAAATGTGTGGTTAGCTGAGCCCTCTTTTCAATACTCACCCTTTCCGTCATGCTGCCTTTGTGTAGGATGGCATCCCCTCCCCAACCCCTGCCATTAGTAGTGTTTCTCACCTGCCCGGCTTTGGCATTTTCACAAACAAAAGCTTCATAGAACCTCGCAAACTCTGGCGCATTGTCATTCACATCCAGGACTTTCACCGTTACGGAGACGCTGCCCACCTGCGAGGGGTTATCTGGAAGAAGGAGGCATAACGTAAAAAAAGGCAATATGCAGGAAGGGGAAGGGGCTGCTCCTCACCTTGCTTGAGATGTAAAGCAGTTTTTTGGCTACTGACTCATTTTAAATGGCATTTTCCCATTGGGAGATGCAGTTGTTTGTGGGTTGTGTGACTCGGACTGAAGCTGTAAGCACGTCTCTCTCTCTCTCTCCTGGCTTCCCATCTAATCACATCTTTTTCAAACAAATTCCATGAAAACTTCAACCTGGTTCAGTCCAATGGGGCTATTTCTATAACAAAAGTTTTAGACAATGCCCCATATCTTTTTTTTTTTTTACTGCCTCTTGACTGGGCAACAGTATTTGTTGAGCCTCAGTGCTGGGGGCACAAATCAGGAAGGGACTTTATTAAGGATAGGTTTGTGATTCAGATCTCATTGAAAGTGGTAATTCTGCAGTTCCGAATTTGCTCAGAATTTATGTTCCTTGAACTCACAAATACTGTCAAGGTTTTGATATTTTGTACAGAGAGGGTTAAAATGTAATAACACATGAAATTGTACAGAAAAGCTTTCACTGAAGCTTAAAATTGCAATGAAAATTTTGCATTCTGCATGACATCATTTGTGATATTTCTGTACCACTGGTTCATTAGCTTTCTTTGCCAGTAAATCCATACATCAGTTCAAATATCTTCACAATTTCCAAACTAAGTGGCCGCAGAATATTTTTTACTGTGTTTTTTTTCCCCAAAACATCTTTTAACCTTTATTTAATGATAAAACACTAAGCAGAATGGAGAAAAAGGGAAATTCATTATGATGAGGTCAGAAAAGGTGCAAAAACCCAGAAAATTCTTAAAAAAAGTATTCTCACCTTCTTTTTCACCATACCACTTTGTGCATATATCTCCAACTATATCTCCCTTTTTAACAAGAAGTGATATTTTCATATAAACAATAGAGAATTTTCTTACACCCTGGAATTTTCTTAAATGTTCAATGTACCGTATCCATAACGTGTCACATTGCATTGAGATAATACTCTTAAACTATATTGTTTCTCCCTAATTTATAATTTAATCCTTCATCTTCCCACATATCCATACATATCTTGCTAACACACCTGTCATTGTGTCAGATGAATGTCTGCATTTATGCTTTTAGCAATATTGATCTAACTTTTTAAAATAGAAGTTTTAGGAGTACACAACTATGACATTTTTGCAAGTATTCACTAGACTAAAATATTGTGTTGCACATGTACAGATCAAAACTGACAGAGGACTGATGGAGGACGAGCCAAAGGAAGACGTGCCTTCATATTGCTCTCACTCTTGAGTGCTGCAGGGGCAGCTTTTACAGACTTGTGTATTTGGATGTACATTGAATTGCAATGGCCATTGGTGGCTGAAAATAAAACTAGCCTCAAAATAGATGAGAGTGAGATCCTATCATGTCACCAACTCCTCACTACTAAAAAGGGGACAGAAAGACATCATGTTGTGGAACAGCCTGCAAACATGTGGCAGAGTGACGCTGATTTTTGCGAAACCTTCCATCTGCTGACTTCAAGTTGGCTGATTGATTACATTTTTGGGCAAGCTTCTTGAAACCTTTTTCCTCTCAAACTGCCCCATATATCTGGTACAGCCTGGATGTGCAGGGAACTCTCTCAGACATGAGGAATGACTCTGCTATTGGCAGCAAGCTTCTGAAAAGCTGTTGCCCCTCAGCACATGCACTGAGACCCTGAGCAAAAGCTATGTGGACCGGAGAGATTTCTGGCGAATATTGTGTGAACCTTTTATTTGCTTATATACCCCAAGCTCCTTTATGAAGCTCACATCTGTCAGTATTTCAAACTCAGCTAAATTTTTCATAGAGACATTATGAAATAATCAGCATCTCCTTGCTCTCAAAGCCTAGGTAAATGCTTGGCACAGATGAATCCTGAGCTGAGTTTTAATACATTGTAAAACCAAAATGCATAATGAGTTTAGCAATCCCAAAGCACTCTGGCCTTTACTTGCTGTTGAACCAGAGCAGATTTCAACTGGTGACCTAGCAGTGTAGGATCACTGTTGCCTACCAGCCCCTGCACCACTCAGTCCTCCCAGGTAGGACTGGCAGCTGTACAGCCTTTGCAGCGTCTGCTTTAAGTGCCTAGCCCTTCTGAAGAGACAGAGCTTTTGCAGAAACACATCAGAAAGAGTTTTAAATAAATCCCTGGAATACTAATGAATTGAAAAAGCAGCACTCTGCATTGAATTGCCAGCCTCTACTCCTCCCACCATCCTGTGAAAGGGAGCACAGAAAATAAATAAAATGCAGTATTTGCTTGTCGATGTCAGAAGAGTAATTCAGTTAATATAGCTTCCCACTCAGTGCATAAGAAGATGTGAATTGCTGAATCTGTCTCTCAGCCTGCTTTGTCTATTGCATCTCTTTAATCTATGTACAGTTTGCATTCTCCTTACTCAGCTCCATGGCCAGCACAGTGATGTTGTGCCAAGAAACATCTTCCCGGTCAAGAGGTCTTGCAGTCATCAGTGCTCCTGATGTAATGTCGACATAAAAGAACCGCCCTGGATCACTGCTCCTGTCAATTGAGTATCTGCAAGAGTACATATTAAAAGTGTTATGCAACCCTTGTGAAAACTGTGTGTTAAAGCCAACAATATACCCAAGCAGTGGGAATAATGTCATACCCAGCAGATCCACATTCTTCCACAACCTAGTTACGCACTCCATTGACTTGTATAGGTAGAGTCAGCTGCTCAAAACACTAGTTCATGCGGCTAACAGCATTTAATGGTGAGTACTACTAGGATGGAGCTGGAAGACAGGAAGATTTAGAGGAAGAAGCCTCAAAGCAAGGCACAGCTCAGCACAGGAACATCTGCTTTACAGAGAAAATCTGTCAGTGAGGAGTGTGATTTCTTTCTCTAAGCAAAATAATTATGCCCTTTCCTTGGGCACAGTTCAGACAGGATAAAAATGACTTTACTCAGCTCATTCTCTGAGCACCTAGGCTGACAAGGAGGAACTGTTCCCTTCCCTGTGCTTTTTTATTCTCTCCTCCTTCACCTGTATCCTGAAACATCAGTACTGATTGAGCCATGTCAACTGAAGAGGATGATGAATGGCTTTCTCATATCATCCAGTCAGAAAAGCAGCTCCGTCTGTGAGGTTGATTCATCATAATTACTGAACCTGCTTGGCTAGTATCATGTCAGTTTAATGCTAGGAATAAGCTTTTTGTACCCATGAGCAAGGAAATGTGGTGGTACCTGCAGGCCAGAAAACTTGGGCAGGGAGGCAGTTGATTGACAGCTGTCACCACTGTATTCACTCAGTCAGAGGGACCATTTCACAGGGTGTGTAAAATACTCAATGCCCTTCATATGCAACACCTTGCTCTTAACAGCAGTTTGTATGAGTTGCCTTCCTAGCTATGTTATCATGGTAAGAAGTCATTTGGCAAAAGCCACCCATGCACCTATGTAAATGCCACAGAACAGATCCCAGAATTATTCTCATTTTTGCTGGTTCTTTCTTTGAAGTTGATGGAAAGTGAAAACATTAGTCATAACAGAGGCTGAACAGGGCTTGTTCTGCTGAATTTTCTCCTTTCAGCACAAGTGCATTGACTGGAACAAGCATGCCAGCCTGGTCTTTATATAGGGACTTATCAAACTGGGATATAAAATATCATTAAGCTGTGTTGTTGGGAAATTCTTTTAAAATTTTTTTCCAGAAAAATAAAAGAAGGTGGGATAGCAGGTTTGTCTCCCTTTCTTTTCCAGTCCTTCCCATCCCTTCTTAAATAGATTTCTGAGGCATTTGATTTATTTAGGAAATAAGTTCGAGTGTTCCTATATTTTGCTATAATAATTATTCTTGCGTGAGAACTATAAAAAGAATTTCTGACAGTTTAAGGCCAACAAGTATCTGAAATTGAATATGGCTTTGTGATTAAGTAGTGCGGTATTAATCACCGGTGTCAAGAGGCACAGGTGGAGTCTCTGTCTGGGTTCTCCATGTAAGTTCTCCTGTTAATAACACCTGCTCCTTCATACTTGTTTCCACTGTATTCTTTAGGTAATCTTCCTGAAACACTTAACGACAATCATGGCATATTTTCAGCCATCCGAATTTCACAGTGTGAGAGTCCAGATACTTGATGCTGGGAAAATCAGGATTTGAGAGTTCCCCTGTGTTTAGTGAGCCCTCCCACAAAGTATCCTGGATTTTCCATACTTGAAAAAATGGTAAAAGGAGGGTCAGATCACCGTTTTAATTTCAGATGGATTTCAGCTTGTGTAACAAAATATGGGATTTTGGTTTTCTTATATTGCCTTGCCCTGTGCAAAGTGAATGCAAAGCAAGCCTAAACCACTGACAGAATGATACTGCACAAAGCTGTCATGTATGGAGTGGACCACATGACAGGCAAGGAGAACCAGTTCTTAACATTTGTATTTTAGATAGCATTACAAGTGGTATTTTTTTTTTCCTCTACCCCAATCATTTACATTGGTATGTACTAGGTGTGGGGAGGAAGGAGGGAAGGAGGGAAGGAAGGAGGAAAGAAAGGAAAGTGGGAAGGGCAGAAGATAGGAAGAAAGGAAGAAAGTCAGGAAGAGACAGAGTGGCAAAGAAGTCTGTGAATATTTGCAGCTGGAGTTTTTTGTTTTGTTGTTTGGTTTCTTTTTTTTCTAATGTGTCTTTGGTGATGCATTCTGTGCTTTATGGAGTGCTGTTTCATCAAGGGTAGTCACTGGAAAGCTCTGAAGAAAACTAAGAAAAACCTCATTAAAAATAACAATGAACACTTCTACCCTCTGATAGTCCACAGAATTACTCTTACACTGTTTTAAGCAGATTAGCACAAAGCTGTTTGCACTGCAGTGTTTGGATAATGCTAGACAGTAATCAGCAAAATAGGATGTGAATGCAAAAAAATTTAGGGTAATGAAATTGTGATGCAGACAGTATAATACTTAGTTTTATTGAAGAATTTGAGACAATATCATGAGAAGTATGATAACCTTATAACATAGAAAAGATAGGTATATTAAGATAGCAGAGATGAAAAACTAATTAAAGCAGCAACACAGAAAACAGTATCATTAGGAAGAACAGGTTCTGTGTCTGCTCTGATCTCTTATGTGAAGCCCAGAGTTGCTCATATAGAGTTCACTTTCTCAAAAAACTCCAAATATTTGATGTTTCAACTCCCTCCTGTATTTTCTAGGACTGTTCCTGAACACAGACAATTCAGAAGCTGGATTGGCCCAAGGTTAGGCAAAGAGCAACTCAACACCCAGAGCGTTTCTCAGATGAGAGAAGCAGCCAACCTGCTGGGATTATTAACTTGCAGTTACTCGGAGCTTCTGCATGTTGTAAAAATTAGTATGTGTGCTGGCCTCAGAGAAAAACAATCTTTTCTCATAAACTGGGCTGACTTGGCAGCTACTATGGAAAAGAGCACTGATCACACAAATCTGCTCCTTTGGCTCCTTGCTGAGTTGGAGCTAAGAAGCTCCCATGGCTGTAAATACACCTTTACCTTTCTTAACTCCATATGGGAGTATCTAGCTCTGCAGCTTTGACCAGGCACTATACAATTTAGTGGTTCATGAATATTTATTAGTATGTATTCAATCTACTCCAAAAGTAGCTGTGTATTTGAGCTGTTGACAAAGGCAGGCTTTGAATCATGAGGGAGAGAAAGCAGAAGCAAGCTGATTACCTTTCCCCTAAGTATGGCAGTAGATTCTCAGTGATGCTGTCAGGTTTTGTGCCAGCAAAGGCATGAGAGTACGGGTTTTGTATTTAATGTATGCTATCAGGACATGCCTGACCAGTTCATTGCAATGCTAGATGCAGACGTTCTCTATACCACAGAAAAGGCAAGGGTGAGCTCCTGCATTGCTTTTCAGTCATAGCAGAGCCTCTCACTGTGTGAGATCTGGTTTGACTAAACCTACTGACAGCTACTGCTGGCTAAAAAAGAGTGAGTTCCTCCCAGCCGTGCTGTTTCATCACTGTCTCACCAACCATTCATACCAAGGAGCACTCGTGGGGGAACACACAAAGACAGGACAGACCTGATGGAGTTGTTGGTCACATCTGGGTCCTTGGCAGAAATGGTTTGTATGGTGGTTCCAATCTCCACGTCCTCAGGCACTTCCACAAAGTAGAAACTGGGCTCGAACACAGGAGGTTCATCTACATCCTCCACAGTGATGTGGACCGTAGTGGTGTCACGGAAGGGACCAAGATTCAAGAACCGCATTTCCAGGTGGGGGTTGGCACCCTCTACTTTCAAGGTGTAGCTTTTCTTGCTCTCAAAACTTAAAGGCTGAGTAGGAAAAATACATCCAGCATTAGGCAAACTGAGCCATATGATCTAGGACATATAACTTCAATTTTCAGAAGTAAAATTGTCCTCTAATATAAACTGATGCTTCTTTCCTCAAGTAAATCTTTACTATGATTGTTAATCGTAAGGGTAACAAAGATAAATATTTGCAGATGGAATAAAAGTATTGAGTGAAAGTAGTATTAGAAGTGGCACAGTATACATATTCTTTTTTTTTTTTTTTTTAATTAGACAGTTGAAGTTAAAAAGCCAGTAGAAATATTTGAAGATCACTTCAGAATATGTATTCTTTCATTCTTGCTGAAATGAAAGAGTAAAAACAGGCACAAGACCACTGTTGTGATTGGTACAGTGTGTTTCATGCCACACTGAGGAAAATACATGTAGAAACAGACAGTATGGGAGCACCTGAAAGTAAGTTAAAGGTACGAAAGGTTGGTTCATCAAAAATGGGTCCAGCGTCAGGGACAAGGATGCTTACACCTAAGCCTGAGGCCCCAGTTAGTATCCTTTTTCCTCTGTATGGAGATCAGTCTCATATCCAGAGCCCTGTCTGCCATGCTGCTAAAGGGCTCCAGTGCTGGCAGGGGATACGGTCAGCCTCTCTTGTGTGATCCTGTTCCAGTTTTTATCAGTAATCCATCCTTCCTAGAGGTGGGGTTTTCCACCTCCTCTCAGTAAGTGTTCTAAACACAGATTCACAATCCAGGTGTGCTGAGTGCTAGGATTTGAATCTCCTCCCTGCCTAGATTATAGTTTAATTTCAAAGCATTATGAGGTAATCCTGACCTCTTCCTACAGGAGTTTGTCTGGATGAAGTACTCAAGTCTTATTTGAAACAGGGAGTGGGAATAGCTATTTTAAAAGATTTGTTTCTTGAAATAATGAATAAAGGGAGGGTAGCTTCCTCTGTTTGTAATGACATACAAAAGCTCATGCTTTTGCAGTAAAATTGTCAGTGCTAATGATGTCCTCCATAAGAATGCCTGATGAAAGACTGGAAGTTATTGAAATTAGAAACCTAGAACTCATTCAGCATTTAGTACATGGAGGTGAGAAATGAAAACTGGAATGGAAACTGGTTTTCTTATGCTGGGGTGATGACAGTCCAATATTACTGGAGATGCTGTGCAGTGATGTAGTACAAACTGTGCAACCTGTGGCAGCAGGTACAAACAGATGAACTGAAACTTGATCAGGCTGCCCTTAGTTCCACCTGGTATATCAATGACTACTGTAGGCATAGCACTTGTCAGCAAGGATTTATCTAGATCTACAAATGTATTACCTATTACTACAGAGTTGTTATGGTCTACCAGTTGCATATTTATGCATTGTAAAAATAGCAATAAAATATATTCACATGATCAAGCACATTTATTGTCCATCTGTCAAGGAATATGCAATGCAAAGCTGCCTAAACATATACTAAGAAAGAGACCATTATATTTCATGATTTCTCAGAAAACTACATAAGAAACACTGCATGTACTCTAAAAAGCTGAGTTGTAAAAAAAAGCAGTTAAATCACAGAAACACTTAATAGCTATAAAACCCAACTACATTATGAAAAGACATAATCACCTAGAATGATCAAGTTTGACAAATGAGGAAAGTTAAACAAGTCTGCTAGGCAATCATTTTTTTGATGCTTCTGCATTCAGACTCCCTCAGTTTGCCTTCATCCTCAGCTGTGGCTTTCCCTCCAGAGACCTTTTGATGTGCCACTGCCTCAACACTGCTGGCCCCCTCATTAGTTTTGTCTTCCACAGGTACGTCCAAACCTCTTTCCAACACCAGTCCCATAGGGAGGGCGAACAGGTTGCCTTCTACAAACTGAGCATGTTGTAAACCACAACTGAGTGGAAAGGCATCCAATGGAAACCTCTCCTCATCCTCATCCTCCTTCCCCCAGTGCTGGGGCAGACACTGAGAGTGTGCCATGCAGGAGGGATTTAGCAAGAGCTGCTGTGAGAAGTGATTGACCAGGGAGGAGGCAGTGCAGGGGCTCTCCAGGGCACTGGGCTTGGTGCTGGCTGGGTGACCCACCACCCTGCTGCTAAGTGAAGCGTGGCAGCCAAGGCAGGGAGAAGGGGGAATACCATCACTGGGATAATTATCAGCCTTACAGGAAGGGAGTTTGTGAAGAGCTGTAACTCTTCAGGAGGTGCTCAACATTTTTGGGATTAGTGGGCTGAGGTAAGTGGCCACAGGACTGCAAGAAGTGTTCTTATCTGTAGCTGTAAATTCTGACTTTTTGATGCCCATGATAGAAGTATTTATTATTTTGCTTGGGAAATCTGTCTAGAAAAATGAAAGAGGAAGCTGTGCTTTCTTTCAAAGATTTCATTCTGGGTTTAGAAAGTCTTTCTCTGTCTCTCTCGCCACTTTCCCCAATTTGATATCCAGCTGAATTATTTTAAGTGGATACGAAGTTCAACTTTCCCGATGTTTTGCTGTTGATAATCATAACATTACAAAAAGCTACAGGAATATATAGAATTTTACAAACATTTACGTATTGAGCAGTATCTACCTGATGCCAGTACACAGCAGGTATGACTGGTGCTATAGAAGTTTATAACTCCTCCTCTGTACGTAAACATCTAGTATAACTGTACTCAAAAGTCAAGCTTATTGACACGTTTACTCCAAAGAAACAATTTTCTTTCGTCAATAAATGAGTGAAAAATTACATTAGAGATTGTATTCAACATCTGTTTAATTCCGGCAAACATATTTAGCTTTAGGGACTAGTGCTCAGGAGAAAGGTGACCATAAATACGTGTTTAAATGCTTTGCTGTAGACCGTAGAGGCTTGTAGGGTCAAATCTCTGCCATGTGTGGTTCCATTTTAGTGCACAATTTAATCCCAGGCTATTTAAATGAAGAATATACTTTCTTATTAGTACACTAGATATGCTTAGGCAGAAATATGGTTATAATTTCATAACCTAGAAACAGAGTTGAACTTCTAGCATTTATGTAAGCTTGTAAAATAAATATCCTGTAGCTGGAAGTCTAAGGAAAATACTCTATGCCTTTCTGCATAGCCTGCGGTACAGAGTACTAGCAGTTTCACAGCTGCCATTTTAGAGACAGCTTCTTCTAGCCTAATTAGCATTTATGGATCTTCAAGCAGCAATTAAAAAAAAAGCCTGCCTGGGTTTTATTGGTTTATAAATAATTCTAGGACATGCTTTATTATTGTTTGTGGGACACTGGAGTGAAAAATGTGTACAGTTCAAATGCAAATATTGATCTAATTTCTTGCATTGTAGGATAATTAAGCTACAGAGAATATTTAAATAGATAAATAGTGAATTGGACCATTCCTTCGGTGGGAAAAGACATGTTTATGCTAATGCTGTCCCCACTTTTTAAAGGATGCTCCTAGGAAAGCAGTCTCCTTTCACATTTTAGCAATGAATGTTAAAGAAATTGTGGTTTATAGCAGGAAAGGGTTACTGTCATGTAATAGAAACCAAATTACTACAGGCATAAGGGAACACTGTAACCAGGACTGTTAGCCATATAAATTACTATAAAAGGAAACTTTACTACCTTTCTCACAGTTATGATGCCAACTTGGTAATTAGGATCAGTGTTAATATCAAAGACATCCAGTCCATCTCCATCCACAAGGCTATACTTCATCTCCGCATTTATGCCTTCATCCAGGTCTTTAGCAACCACTCGGCCCACAGTGGAGCTGACGGGAGCAGACTCCAGCACGCTCATCTGATAGTGCTCTGGCATAAGCAGCAGAGAGGGAGAGGGGAGCAAAAAACAAGCTGTGAAAAGGAACTGGAAACTGCGATGTGAAGAGTAGATCAGGGCAGGCCACAACACTGCATAGCCTGCAGGGAGTCTCCAGTACCTTTCCTGAAGCTGCAACAGCAATGTGATTTCCTTTAAAAAGCCCCATCTCGACTGAGTTGCCTGGGAAGGTTTTATTTAGGAGTTTGTCATATGAACAGGTTTGTTCAAAGGGTTATTTTCAAAGCAGCAGTATTCCTGAAAAGGGGAACTTCAACTAGAAAAATGGGGCAATTAACACCAGTGCTGTTGAAGCACCATGACATAAAGCAGGATATGAAACAGTTTTAATAGGACGGGTATCTTTTATTGGATCAGCTTGTACACCAGCAATAAACACATAGGTTTTGAGCACCACAAATCCTTTCTTAAGCCAGTACAAACTTCTTTCAGCACTGAACAAGGCTTTGAGAACTCAGAAACTTGCCTGTTTCTTCCAAATTTACCAGTTACTCTATTAAAATATACTACCTCTCCCTATGAACCCTGCCTTGAGCACATTTGGTACATCACTAATTTGCTGAGCAGCAAGCCTGGGGAAAGAGATAGCTGCTATTTTGAAAGTATGCTTTAAAAATATAGGTGTTGAATCTAAAATACTTCTCTGCCATTATACTTTATGTTCAGACCTTCCTTGTTGCACTCTCTCTGTTGACTCCACCAATTACTGAGCTTTATAAAGCAGAATAACACATAGGATGGGGTTTAATCTATTCTTATTTCTCTTAATCAAGAGTTTGCTATCAAACAGTTACAATTCATGCCTCTTTCAAAACAGGATTGAAAATAGTGCATTCAGCAAGTTGCTCTGACAGAAAAGTGGAACTTGAGGCTTCTTGCTGATCTTGGTAGAATGCTCTGATTTAGCAGTGCAACATGCAGAAACAGATAGAGAATAGCAACAAAAAGAATTGCAGGAGTTTTTATTTCTCAGCTAGGAGAGAAAACTAGTAAAACCAAAATGACTTGAGACTGATCTATGCCACTGAAAGATACAGATTTTTTTTTCCAATAAAAGTATATCCCTTGAAAGATTTAGTTCAATCAAATTTGAAAAGTTTCTTTCAAGTTTGAATAATAATATAAAATTATGTAGATAAATTTGATCTAAACAAATTAAAAAGAAAGAACAAAATTTTGTAAAATATTGATCTGAGGATCACTTTTGCAAATGCAAAGTAATATTTCTGATAAGAGTGGAGTTGTCTGCTTTTGCATTCCATTAACTGTGGCTGTTGCAAGTCTTAGGGTTTAACTGTATATTGCCAAGGCTTAGAAGAAACCTTTTCTGGAGAGCAGGCTGTATGACAACACACTGTACACTGGCAGCACAGCTACCAGACACTCCCCTGCAGCGGCCTGGCTGGAGCGTTGAATGAATTATCTTTCAACTTCCAGCACTGCCACATGTCCCTGATTTGACAGACATCCTTTTGGAAATGGGATGAAGAGAGAATCATAGCAGCAATTAGCAGCCAAAGGCAATGGCCATAAACATTCTAGGAACACAAAAGACCTCCTTCTTTCCTTTTTCTGTAAACTAATTTCTCCCCCTTTAAAAAAATGTATGTTTTCTGATGATTTTGGAGGTCAGAAACCTCTTCGGAAAGAAAAGGTGGTGAAACTCCATTTTGACATTTTTCTGAAGGAAAGGTAGGTCCGTTATTGATCTGAAATTCTGCCCATCTCTAACTGTCACCATCTGGAGGTTGAAAATGGCTGCAATGACAGCAAACAGCAAACCAGACAACTCACCCACCCCTTTTTGTCCATTCTGGTGCAGTGGGTACTCACTCTGTGGAAATCTGGGTGGGTTGTCATTGACATCAGAGAGGGTAATGTTGACTATGGTTGTTCCAGCTAATCCTCCCAGCTGTCCGCCCATGTCCTTGGCCTGGATAATCACTTCATAATATTCTTTTGCTTCTCGGTCCATGTTCATTAGAGCTGTTCTAATTAAGCCTGAGATTGAGAGGGA